ATGCTCAGGTCATCTTCTACTGACTTCTTAAACAGGAGGCGTTCTAGTGTCTTCTTGGATTGTCTGGTGGAAGAAATGTAGAATGAGCAATCTTAAAAGAAAACACTAAGGGATGAGATTCAAATGTTAACAGAAATAGATTTGCAGTGACAACAATTTTACAAAAATTAAGCATTTTCACATGACAATCATTTTTCCCTGCTTCTCACCAATAGTATACTGGCCAATGTTCTTACTTGATATTGTTCAAAGAGAAGTACAGAGCCCCCTGTAGAAGCTGAGCAGTACTGCACCAGGGGTCTATCTTCAGTGCCTCCCCAGTGGCTTCCAGTGCCAAGGACTTCCATCTCTCCACATCTGCATCTTTGGTCTGGTAGCAAGCAAAATGAAACAGACACAGCATCATATGGCATACTAAAATAGTGCTGGGTACTGTTAATATAGCGTAGAAAAATTCTGGCAGTTTTACCAGGTGATACCAAAAACAAAACTTGCACAGTCACACCAAAAGATATCAAAGTAATATCAACTATGATCATATTTGACAACATACAAAGGAAATTTAGCTTTAGGAAGAGCTACTCTTCCACTGGTCGTGGCAGAGAAGACAGATGCTATGTACAGTATTTATATGTTCATTGTACCTAGCTCTTTTTGACAAGCATAATGATCAGTGGACCCTAGCTTGATGTCCTGTCTGAAGAACTGCTACCCTTAACAGTAGTGTGCATGTTGGGTGATTGACAACAACCAGGATTCAAACTCCAAACCTCAATCATCCAAAGACATGGTTGCTAACCACTGGACTGCATATGCTACATCTTAACATCCCACTGTAGACTGACCTGTACCATGAGTAGAGCCAGGTAGGCCAGTCTTAGTAAGGCAGTTATTTTTCCCTGTGGTGAGGTGGAGACCTGAAGACTCTGTCTGTAACACATCTCTGCTGCCACTGTCATGCCCTGGGTCTGGTAAACTGATGACAGGAGCTGGAAAAGATGTCACCCACATTACCTCATACATCAAATAATTATGAATCTATTGGCAAGCTTTCTAACTTAAATAGCTATGATAAATCAATAACAAGTTTATTACAATTTCTTTTTGTGATTTACAAACAACTGAAGATTAGCCAAACCGTTAAGGTGCCTTCAGGCATAAATCCAGTTTTGTACAGCAGGTACAAACTCTACAAAAAAGTCCGGACTGTAAGGTTTGAACCACTCACACTGGGAAAGACCCCTCAGGCTCTCAATCCACTTGTAATCTGTAAAACTCTACTGTACATACATATGTATAATGTTTTAAAGTAGGGCTTCTTACTTCTAGTTTTCTTCCATACAATTCTAATGCTTTCCCAAACTAAACAAAACAGAACATTTAACATATACAGGAACATACAATGTAGATCAGTATTACATACCTGCCAGGCCATCGCTGTTTGGTTTGACAGCACTGCTGATCTCAGCTGTTCCACAGAACCTACAGGTTGTCCAGCTGTGACCTTCACAGCGATGTCAGCCATGGCACTGAGGGTGTGGAGGGGTGGGTAGGGTGTACTCTCCTGCAGAATGAAAACATATCTCAATCAAGATGTAATCTGTACTGAGTCATAACATGAAGGATGAATGCTATGCATATCATACATGAACTTATTCAATGCACCGACTACATTTACAAATGGCCCACATCAGCAGCGTAAAAGAATTAAATCCAGAAAAATACTTAAGTAGAAGCTTGAAGGTCATTCAGCACTAAGTACATATCCAAAGTGCACATGTCATTTAGCAGTAGGGAAACTGGTGCAGATGTTATTCAGCACCGGGGAGACATGCTCTATTGAATATGAGGAGATTTGTTCAGCACCAAGGACAGGCATGGCCATGTGTCATTCAGCACCAAGGACAGGTGCTGTCATGAATGAATACTAGATGGATATTAAACATAGAAAAAGACAGACAGACAAAATGACACAAATATAAACAAACTGACAGACATAAATATAGACAGACACAGTACCTTGTTACAAGCTCTCTTAGCTTCCTCAAACCTCCCCAGCTCCATGAGGCTGCTAACTGACTGTAAAGTTGCCCACTGCTTCATGACAGGAGAGTTCTCTGGCCGTCCTGGCTGTTCCAACAATGCTGTGATTACTCTGGTACAGCCAAGGTCAGCTCCCTCCCTGTGTGAACCCTGACCCTTAACCTTTGACACCACATTGTTGGCATACACCACTGCTGTCAGAACTAGCCATGACGTCAGCTGACCTGGAATTGATATTTGATATATTGTACAACTGGTCACAATACTGTAAATGCATTTAGTTTTGCGGTGTTTTTATTTCATGGTATGAGGGAAATAAAAGAAGATTTTCATGCGGTTTGCAGTTCACAGTTGAAACAATTGCACAGCAGTGCAACAGAAATACGAAATATATTTGCAGTGTCGAGATTTTGTATTAAGAGGTCACCGCAAAAATAAAGCCAACGTAAACATTTTGCAATTTATACTTTAGCTACATTCCAACAGCTATTTCTTAAGATAATGTATCGTCATCATCATCCTCATCAGTCTTCGTCTAAAGAGGTGTTGCACACAAAGTGTGGTTTTTCCAGAACTTTTTGTCTTTCATTGCTGAGAGATGTTCATGTCCTTTTGAATTTGTTCCTGTTTTTTTTTGAGTTTCCTAAGTGTTCAAGATAAATATGAAGAAAAGAAATATTGCATCCCCACCTGGGTAGAAGTGCACGGCCTTCTGTGCATTGACCAGTCCGTCCGTCCGTCTGTCCCTGGTGTGGACCCCTGCCGCCAGCTTTGCCAGACTGAGAGACAGAGCCTGCTCGTGAGTGGGAGGGGCAGTCAGCGCCTTGGGCACCTGCACAGCTGCATGTGCAGCTGTGGCATGCTGTGGCTGCTGCTGGAGGGTGAACACAGCAAGAAGCTCCCACAACTTTGTCTCTGAGGGGTACCTGAGAAGAATATAAAGGAATACAGGTGATCACCTTCTACTGCCTCTTACCTCCCCAACATGAGGGATGGGCTGCCTTCCACTACTGTGCCCTAGACACAAAGTGGATTAACAACCCACTGCCCCTTCAGCCTCAGAAAAGGCTACTGGACTACTTTTACCTTCCTCTACATTTTTACATATCAAAAGCTGCTTTCAGGGGACTGTAGTTTCAACTGCAGACTTAGTGATGATGCTTACTTGTGGATGTTCTTCAGGATGGCGTTCCTGGCAGCCATGGTGTCCCCCTGCGCGGTGTACAGACAGGCCGTGAGGAAACTGACGTCACACATAAACCGCTGGTCGTCTCCTTGCTTCAGCAGCTCCGTGAGTGCCGCCGAGGCCAGTGTCACGTCCCCGTTGGTCAGACCCAGCACACACAGGGCCTGGAGACCGTGCACACTCGGGGGCTGGAGCTGGGAGCTGCCAGTAGTGGGAGAGTGTACTAGTATCAACTACTAGATATATCAAGTTTAAGGACAAAATTTGACTTTCTGCTAGTAACATTTTGAAATCTTACGCAGGACTTAAAATACTACCTGTATCAGGTGAACCTGTATTGGGTAAAAATCCATATACCAGTCCTCATACATAGATAGGTACAGGTTAGTGCAGGCCTGAGTGAAATTGGCATTGCATCTATTAGGTACTTCTGACATCTAGTACTGTATCAGTATCTATGTATTGGGTATACAGTGGACTTTGGTTTGGAATTGAAATGGTTTCTTACTTTAGCAACTGCCAGTTTGGTCCATAGTTTTTAAAATCTTCATTTCCAGTAGATTAGTGTAGGCAATTTCAAAAAGGTCACCTGCACCAGTTCAGGTATACAGACAAAAGTATTTCAAGTCCTGTATGAACAAGTCATCTGACAAAAGCCATAGAAACAAAACAAATGAGATGACACCAAGCTATGAGAAATTCTATACCATCGGAACAGCAGGGTCTTGGCTCTCTCTGCATCTTCAAACTTGTGTGCCACCATGGCCATGGCAGCCAGCACGCAGGACTTGTCTGTGTCTGAGGGGGCCAACTGGAATGCCTGCTCATAGGCTAGCAGAACAGAAAAAAAACACAGAAGTGAGTTTTGTTGCAGGAAATCCAGATTATACATTCTTATACAAATCTTTGAAATATTTTTGACATCTTAAAGATTAATTGATGATATCACTTTGCAGACTTACAAAGTCGGAATTGAGTTGGTATTTACAATTTGTCCTTTCTCAAGGACCCAAGGTCTTACCAGGAATGCCAGGAATCAAACTTGTGACCTCTTGATTGCCTACCCACTAGCCCATTCTACGCCACACTATTAGTATTGCGGAACAAAACCTTACCTCCATAGCTCTCCTCTAGTTTCCCTGCCCTGTACAGAGCGTGTGCCAGCCCACAGACATCCCTGAACTCCACCAATGGTGTGATGGCCCTGTATTGTGTCACTGCCTCCTCAAACCTTCCCCTTCCACACAACACCCTTCCGTGGTTACACAGGGCCTTGTTCAGCTTGTCTTGGTCTTCTGTCACCCTCAAAAGCTTCACTGCACTGCAAAAATGCCCCCTCTGCTCCCCGCAGCAATCCCTGGTGCTCCAACAGTAACCCCAGCATGTTGTAGGCTGTTGGGTTTGAGTGGACGCGGTCCGTGTATTTTGACAATGCCAGGCTGGCCGCCATCACGGCCCCCATCTGCACGATGTTGTACTTGTACACATCGCTGTTGCGGTTTGACGTGTCTTGCAGAGTGTTGCAGACCCAGTTGGCGTATCCGATCCCGCCTTCCAGGTGCGTGCCAAGCTCTGTGGTGTGCCGGAAGAGGTCCATGGCTTCTTCGTGCCCGATGGTTTCTGCAACCAGCGCCTGGCCGATCCAAGACGCGACGTAAGATGGGTTAAGGGACTGTGCAACCTTGAAGGCCTGATGGGCAAGTTCTACTTGGTCATACTTTAAGTACAGCACACCGAGGTTGGTCCATGCTTCCACATTGTTTGGCTCTTCTTGGATGGACTTGATAAAGGCATGCTGTGCAAGTTCGGGATTGTCCGCTTCTTTAGATGCCGTCACCATGCCCAGCGCTAACCAGTGTTTGTGGTTTCCGCTCTCCAGTGTTATGGCTTTCTTCAGCACTTGTGTTGCCTTCTCTACAAGACCTTTAGAAGCCTCTTTGTCATTGTCCTCTTGTGCTTGGTAGAAGTAGTTCAAGCCAAGGTCGTGCCAATGCTGGAGCAGTCCTCTGCTAGACGGAGGGCCCGGCCATAACATCGCCCACCAAGAGTCAGGACATCTCTCTTCCCCATCACCTGGTCTTCAGCAAAATCCTTTCCTCTCCCAGGAGGGACCCGGGTACCTTCAATGTCACCAGATCTGCTGAGATGGGATGAAGCAGTGTACAAGCATCTCCAAGCAGTTTCCACAGGCATGACAAGTCTGCTCTTACACTCACGCCCTTAGCTAGAGCAAGGATGGCAGACTGAGATGCATCTACAACCCTGCCGTTCAAGTACTCATTTAGGGCTTCTCTGGCTTGTGCTAGATATGTTTCTCCTAAGCCTTTCAAAGCAGGTACGTAAGCGGAATCTTTCTCTAGAATGACCTGGTATTCTGCCACAGCATCGGGAAACTGGCCCAGCACTTGTTTGATTGCCGCTACTTGGTACAGACTGTACGTCGCTTCCGGGTTGAGTTCTGCAGCCTTGGTGAAGGCCTTGAGGGCAGCGGTGTAACCACCACGAGTCAGATACGCTTCTGCCAAACACTCCCAGCAGTGAGGGTCTTTTGGATCGGCCCTGAGTGCAGCCTGTAGGCTCTTCACTGCCTGTGTACCCTCCCCGTGTTTCAGTTGGTACAGCCCAAGCCTCAGCCAGGCCCACTTGGCTGTACCTGCACTTGCTCTACTTGTTACAGAAAGGTACAGTTTCAGCCCTGCTTCTTCCTCTCCCAGAGCAATACACGCATCTCCAAATGCAGCGCCAGCTTCCTCGCTGGACTGGTCCAGATCAAACGCCTTCTGGTAGCACCTCTTTGCCCTCTGCACATCCCCAGCCACATCTCTGTAGTAGTGCCCGAGGTACAAGAACGTGTCCGAGTGATGTGGATCGAGCTTTGCAGCCTTCAGCAGGCTGGTCATGCACTTGGACTTCTCCTTCTTGGTTTCCTCTCCCATGGTCCAGTACAAGTGTCCTAACCTGAAGTGGTACATGGCAACCTCAGTGTTCAACTCTACTGCCTTCTTCAGCTGTCTCTCTGCCATTTCGCACTTGCCCTGTAGAGAGAATACCAGCCCCTGCAGTGCTACCATGGTGTGTTGAGCAGCATTAGATTTTATGGTTCTATCACACAGTTCTCCTGCTTTGTCCAGATCTCCCAAGTTGATGTATGTCTGGCAAAGGCCTTGTACAGCTTCTTGACATGACGGGTCCTTCTCAGCCTCCTGCATGTAACAGAAATGGAAGTTAGGCTATAAATGGAGTGATTACTGATTATCATATAGCCAGAGGATGTAGATCAATCAGAATGTATGAATGTGTCCTTTATACCATTCTCTAAGAAGACCCTTGCTGTACCTGAGTGTATAGATGAAGAGCTTCTGCCAGGTTAGCTGGCAGTTTGGATCCCGTCAGGGCTTCTCCTAGAAGAAGTGTGAGGTTCCTCTGAACTTTATCCCTGTTGTTCACATTTTGTAGTTTCTCCAAGACCTTTATGCCTTAAAAAAATAAGATCCGGTAAGACATAAACATGAAGTTTAGCAAGAAATTAACTAAACAGTATGATTAATTGTCATTATCTGAATTGCAGCCCTTACAGCTGTCTGCTACATGATGTAATTCAACACCACAGCGTGTCTGTTACAGCACCAGCTACCATGGTAATAGACATCTGGTCCAGGTCATTGACCTTACATGCTTGGGGAATAAGAAGAAACACAGCAGAAACAAATCAGAAATGTGACTGACCTTGTCTGGCAGCCTCCACTGCTCCCACATGATTGTGTAGTTTCACCTGTACACATGCCAGGTGCACCCAGCCATACACACAGTCCCTGCAGCTGCCAACACCTGTCTGCAGCAGCTGCCTGGCTTTCACTGGCTCTCTGTGTAGCAGGTGGAACCCCTGGAGGAGTTGGGCTGCTGAGTTGTTGGGGTCTAAAGACTGGAGCAGTGTACAGGAGGCTAGGGTGGCTTCTGAAACAGAGTCTGTCAAACCATGAAAATTGGTGAGTAAAGATTTCAAACTGTGAAGCTGGTGTGTTATGCCAAAAGGCAGTCATACCAGCTATACTACATGTATACTGGTACAGAATGTCAGACAGAAGTTATATGACAAAATCAGTCCCAACCTACCATCCTCCAACCCTATCAGGCACAGGGTCTGTAGTGGGAAGGTGCTGTCTGGATGTGAGGAGGACATGTCCCTGCACAGAACCTCTATCTCAGGTCCTGACTCTAGCTGGTTCTTACAGAGGGCAAAACAATACATATGAAATATAGAACAAGAGCTAACACTAGTAACAGTACTGGAATTGCTTGCAGAACTCATTTACAATTGATAGATAAACTCATTTATATACAGGTAAAACTTGTCTTCAGACTCATTCTCTGTCACTGAAAGGTAATGAATGCTATCTGAATGTCTGACTCTTAAGAGAATTTGTCCAGTTGCTTGTTTATTTTGTGATATGTAATCTTCTACCTGGATGCTTCACCTTCATTAATGTATCACAGGTGAATAAGATTTTGGAAATTTAGGAAATTGTGCCACTAGGGTCTTTTAACCTTTCATTGATGCTAATATGATACTTTAAAATATCTCAATCAGTTTTCATCTGTTAATGCACAAACTTACCAGAGTCATTATCTATTTATACGTTTTCCACTTCTGTAACCAGTAAATACAAATTTGTTGCACATTTCTTACCTCCAGAAGAAGTCTTATGTAACCTTCATAATGTTTCTTGTGATCTTCTCCACTGACTGTATCAGACTTGATAACAGTGGAGTAAGCCTCCTTCAACTGTGGGAAGAAAAATCAAATGAAAATTACAGGCTTCAAAACAAAGTATGTTTTAGAAATATCTTTAGAAGACATAAGTTTGGATTGGCTATAGATCTATCATTATCATGCAAAGGTCACAATAAGGTAAGGTCTAAGGTAAAAAGAAAACAAACAAACCTACCAAGTCCATGTCTTCTCTTGACAGGTCCTTCTGTTGTGACATGAGTGTGATGATCTTAACCCAGAACTCCATGACATTGTTGTTTCCACTCGTTTCCATGGCAACAATGACCTCCCTCCAAACGCCAGCTGCCTGTGTGGACATAAGGGTACACAAAATACTAGTCATTTTAGAAATTGGCCAGAAAATCTCATTTTTCCTGAAAAAGTTTCTTAACTCATCACGTATCTGATTTTTGGCCATTTCCAATGTTCTTAAGTATGAATGATGATGAAAATGAAGAAATGGCAGTAAGCTAGTCTACTACTTATTTAACAAAGAAAAGACTAGGCACCTTTCTGACATCACCAACTTTAGCCAGCAGATCTCCCTGCTTTGCTGCAAGTTCTTGCCACTTGGATTTATCACTGTACAAGACAGGAGAACATTGAATCAAGGTACAGTATCATGTGATGGTCTTCTTATTCTGTAAAATGAAATGCAAAGGGACATTCTCATGGGAAACTCTGCAGTGCTATTTAATGTTTATTCAATGCATACATGACAAAGATATCCACGTAGCTGCTTATATCAGGCACAATACACAGGTATCACCAAATGAATGTTTACCTCTGACACAGCTTCATCAGTCTACTGTAGACATCAGATAGCTCCTGTCTCTGGTCAGGTCTGTTCAGCTTTTCATAGAACCCGCACAGACCCTGGAGATTGATATACATGTAGATGTCTCCTTCATTTATCAAGCATAGAGGCACAAGGTATAAATTAAACAGTGTAAATGTGTGTATTACTTTGAAGCAAGCTCTACATACATGGTATACATACACCAGTACACAGAGCTGGTAAGAACATTGAAATTAGTTATTCCACTACAGAAACACACCTGCCAGGCCAGTAGCTGGTCAGGTTCGGCCTCCGCAGCCCGTCGGTATGCCGCCTGCGCCTGGTCAGGCTGGTCCAACTCTGCAGCAGCCACGCCCACAAACACCAGTGCATGGTAGTTGTTCTTGTCTTGTTTCAGGACATCCTGTAGGTAGGGTGACCCATAGTGTTGTGTTGTATCCACAGAAATGGTATTTTAGTTTTCTCCTCATTTGGGGGCACATCATAATCATTACACTTGGACATCCAAATTATTTTCTTAACATTACAAATGAGCATGGATAGGGTTTATAGTAAGTATGGCATTTATGAATACTAAAGTTTGATGCATGTACGATGATTTGTTTCCTCAACAATATTGTTTAAGTCATAGGTTTGCAAAGAAACCATTTTTTCTAAAATATATGACATATGGCGTATTTAACAGACATACACTGTAATCCAACATGGCACAAGTCACGTCATGTGAAAAGCCTGTTTAGTGATTTTACCTTGCAGTGTTTAAGAGCTTCCTTGTACTCCTTCTTCCTGATGGCCTCCCGTGCAGCTTTCAGCGCTGCTTTGGTCTCCTTACTGGACATGATTTTATACCATCCAGCTGTGACGTCAGCAGATCTACACAAATTTGGGATGACAGGAATAAAAACTTAACACTGAGGATATCTAATAATCATTGACAAAACGCCAGGTAAAACACTGTCCCCTCGAATCCTTAATACATTCAACACAGTTATGTATTCTATATTATACAGTTAACCGTTATAACGTTATATACCCTGGGTCATAATTCACTTGATGCATGATTCCATACATTTTCACACAACCCCGCCCCCTTCACTACCGGTCCTTTCTACATGTCAGTACGTAACATTATAACGTTAGTTATTTTTATGTCCTTGTTTAACGTATATCATTTCACTCTTGGTGCTTAAGTGCACATAATATTTCGTTATACTGTAACTCATGTGGGCATGCTCTGAGCATCAAACAAGCCACGTTGCTCATATACAATACGGTTTGATATAAGATTCTTTACAAAATGAAATCGATAAATTTTTGCTAGACGGCTAGCTGGAAGCCGCTACCCTATACCTACCACTGTCTCCCGGACACGCGATCAAACGAGAGACTAGACGGAGAAGAGGTAGAAAAGTGCAGATGCCAACCCGGAACTTTCGATGACTTTAGAGGGCGACAAAACAAAAAAATAGGCTAAAGGTTTTTATACGCGATCTGTGTCTAACTCATACCTATGTAATAGTTTCCATTACAACATTGTATTCTACTATTCTAACTACATTGCTATTTTACTATTTATCTGAATTTGTATTTTGTGTATCGTAATCTCTCTGCTACACGTTTGAAAAGTCGATGCGTTAGCATTGTGTCGCCTTCGTAGGTGAAAGTTCAAGGGTCAGCGCACATCACGTTTCCGTGATCACGTACGTGAAGAAATCTGCTCCTAAAAACTGACAATCAAACGGGAATCAAAGTGTTCAAGTTATCATCAGGTAAGTGTTATGGATAGCTATGTTATAGATGTGTAACCGAGTGGAGATTTGCGAGGTGTATTCCGTGGGAAATCGTCGACCTTCAAGCGGCTGGATGCATATGCATGTATAATCAGTTCCCATATGTTCGTTCGCTTTAATTTTGTGATCATAACATATAATGTTTTGCATGCATGGCGTGTTGAAAACCTGAACGTGGGACGCTTAAGGCTCCTACAGCAAATTCCCACCATACTATGCCCATATGCTTGTATCACCGAAACAACACCCATGGCCTGTACGATACCAAATGCCCCATACCTACTGTATCGGATAAAAGAACAAGAGGGCACCAGCTGAAACTAAGCAGGATGCCAGCAAAAACAAACACAAGACTTTATTTTTTCACCATAAGAACAGTATGCTGGTGGAATAGTCTACTGGAAGAAGTGATTACAGCTCCCAGCGTGAACTGTTTCAAAACCAGATTTGATAAACATATGAGACTACACCCAGTAGTATACAACTACAGAGCCCTGGATCATCCCATGCGACCCGAGATGACTGTCGGCTGAAGCCAAGAGCGGCCCAAACTGGAAGATATTCCTACCTGGCCTGAAGGAATCTACATCTACATCTACATCTACAACAAGGAGTTCTGGAACCGTGATAATTTAATTCTATTAAAATTATGTTTGAATATCCGACGCTGTGTTTGTGAATAGAAATTTCCGTCTCAATTATTTCTAAAGCACAGTACAACGAATTGGTTGATGATCGCACAAGACGCTTCTCCGTAGACTACTGTACAAATAAAGCACACTCCTGAACATCAAAGCCAGGGATAACTCACAGCTCAAAATGTGAAATAGATGTACTTCAAATAGCCACAATGTAGTGTTGTTTGTATTAAAACGTTAATCTAAAGAGCAAAATTGTTTGCATTTCTTAGGTTAATCTGATCTTTTGTGCCTCAACGAGAAAACCAGGATGTCTGCAGAAAGTACTGAGACAAAGAAGGTGGTTCGAGTGGGGACAAGAAAAAGTCAGGTATGCTGCTGTATTTCTCCCAGGGCATCACACGGGCAATTTAAAAATCCAGTGTGCCTATTTGTTCACTTAGAACTGGAAAGTGCTTCACTTAAAATTTAGATTGCAAAGAAATAGTAAGCAGGGATTGGGCTTTCATGTGAATTTATCTGTCACTGACTTTTCTGACAGACTAACGTTTTGTGATTGATCTAGCTTGCCATGATCCAGACCAACAGTGTGGTGGCATCCCTCAAGAAACTGTGTGATGATGTAGACTTTGAAATAAGTAAGTATAAAATCTGTTTTTAATTTATGGTAACCTATACATCTTACAAATGTCTTATGTTGTCCAAATATATTTCACTATTACATACATTGAACAAAGTTGTCATTGTAGTGGATGATTATGTCTGTGTCCAAAAATGAATCTAAATTTTTTTAGGGGACTACATTAAATCATTAAAACATAAAATTATGTCTTCATTTATACAACCAACAGGCAAATAATATTCACAACTTGAAATCAGTATTTTACAATAAAAGTGACAACAACTTCCATTGTAAATCTAAATTATTTTTCTTTTTTTCAGTTTCTATGTCAACCACGGGTGACAAGATTCTTGACACGGCCCTCTCAAAGGTAATTAAACATGTATGTTCCGAGTGTCCCATATTGGAACAGAATATGATGATAACAAATGTCATGACGGAATCAGACAAATAGGAAATTCAATCTCAGTGGCCCACGTCAATATCAGGAAAACATATCTTTGAACCGGTGATGTATAGATTATAAGAAGATGGAAATATGCCACCAAGCCTAGAACTTTTAATCTCTACTACTGTTGGGGGTCATAGGTTCTGAAAGGGCTAAACTAATACTGTTGTTACTAAAGAACAGTAATGCAGTGACATGCATTTCTTTCCTAGATAGGAGAGAAGAGTCTGTTTACAAAGGAGCTGGAGAAGGCATTGGAGGATGGACGGTACATGTGCTACCATTCCCTAAACTGCATTTTTGTACAAGCTACCGGAATTACAGAAAAACATGAAATCAAGGAAGATTAGTGATGCATACCGGTTCACTGGACTTGGATCCGAACTTGTAAGAATGTTTAGGTTCAAGTCCAAAAAAACCTAAAAGTCAAGAACCGAGTCTGGACTTATACCATAAAAGACCATTTCACATACCCCTTTTCTTTCCAAACCACCTAAAACCCTCCGTAGATTGCAAAATCTTTGCTGCAAAATGAAGAAAACATCGCCAAGTACCGGCTTCCATGTTATGTGGCCAAAGTTTCACCCAGACAACATTGCAAGGTTGCCAACATGCAATTTTGTATATGCCATGGGTTTAGGTCCGGACTTACAAGTCTGGAACTGAACCTAAACCTCTGGACTTGAATCCGAACCTGAACCTAAAATTGGGTTTAGGTATGCATCACTAAGGAAGATGATTCTCGGGGGACTGATATCTATAAAATGTGCAAAATACAATGTATTGTTATATCTCTATTCTGTTGAAGTATGTAGCTCGTTGTATCAAAGCAGTTTTTAGTTTGGATAGCCTCAGGCATTGTGTTCTGAACTGCTTATCATTATCAATGCATTGTATTGTCTTTAATTATCACTTTGTGGCCAAATGTCTTCAAAAGCCTTTCATTATAATGTTATCTCAGATTCCAATCTACAATAATATTGCAATTGTTTTAGATTTAGATGTATGTGCTTCAGGTATAACGTTATAATATTCAACTTAGTTACTAGTTCATCACCTATTTCCCTGATTTCTCTACAGGGTAGATTTTGTGGTGCACTCATTGAAGGACCTTCAGTCAACTCTTCCTCCTAATATGGTTATTGGTGCTGTGCTGGAGTAAGTGTATATATTGTACACATTTTGTGACCCACTGGATGTTGCACATGAATGATACATGTAGGTTTGATGTGGCTGTTGTACATGTATGTATTTGAATTTTTAGCATTATGTCCAAACTAATTTCTTTGGATCGGTTGTTGTGTGATGATAAGAAGAAATCTCATACATGCAAAAACATTAAGATTTTTTCAATGAATATCTTGTTTTTTCATTGAATTTCTTGCTGATTCTGTTTGATAAAAAATATACATGTATGTATTTTCCTCTGGCTCCCATGAGGAATACATGTAGAAAGAAATTGAAGACAGGAAATGAGATACCCTTTTATTGGACATTTCTGGGACCTTTGTCCTAACATCCTGTCAGTGTCCCCACCCCCCATGTGTCAAGCATGTGGAAATAACTATGGAAACACAAGCAAACACACAAACACATCATAAACCAAAACTATACTTGGAGGTAATGGAGATGTACCTGCCCACAGGAGGGAGGATCCCTACGATGCTGTTTTGATGCACCCCAAACATGCAACCAAACACCTGTCAGATCTGCCAGAGAACAGGTGGGAACTGCTCTTGTGATGATTTCCTCTGTTTGTGTTGCTATAGCCTATAGATTATATAACGTACATGTATAACAAATGAACAGTTCACTGTTTTGTTGATATTGCTTGTATTTTCAGCATCTTTTAAAAAAGTGTTATATACTGTACAAGGTAAAAATCTACAAACAGTTTGAAGAACAGGAGTTATGAAAAGATCATAACTCCTGAAGAATATCTCTGTGTTTCTACCTGTGTTCAGTGTGATAGGGACCAGCTCAGTGAGGAGAGTTGCCCAGCTGAAGAGGAAGTATCCACACCTGAAGTTTGAGAGTGTTGTATCCTTTCTGCACTGAATTGAATTTAACACACTTCTTTTTAAAGTGGTGGATATAAAAACATAGGCAACCCGACAGAACAATGGTAATGGAAGTTAAATCCCTTGAAGCCTTTGTACATACCAAGCTGTGCAAAATTCATAATTTGCAGTTATGTGAGTAGCCCTCTTACTTAACCCGTAACCCCAGCGAGGAAATCTGAACACGCGTCTGCGGAAGTTGGACGAGGATGAGGTGTACAGCGCTCTGGTGCTGGCAGCTGCGGGGGTGAAACGGATGGACTGGGAGAGCAGGATCAGTCAGACATTACTGCCTGATGAGTGTCTGTACGCTGTGGGACAGGTACGTGTGTCTGTGGAATATATAAGATAACTAAACAAAAGACCATCTCAGGTCAATTTTGGATCAAAACAGGCCTAGGTCAAAATGCTAAGTCAAAACAACAGACCACTATAGGTCAATACTAGCTCAAAAGACCATTACAGCCACTTTAAGTTAGTGGGATCTGGAAGGTACAGGTGACTTGATAGAAGATGGTGGTGAATGTTGGTTTTGAAGACTTGTGCCTTGCAGTCAGGAGGGAGACTATTGTCGGGGAGAGTTCCATGATTTTGCAGTTCACGAAGTTCAGAAGCTGTTGCTGTAAAAGTGTCTTGTATTTCTTCCCTAGCAACATATTCTCTCTATTTGGCTATAAATTGTACTATTTTGCATCAAGTGTTATTTATCTGCTGGACCAACAGTCTGGTTTACCAACAACAAAGACTGGTTTTCAATTGTGACCAAGAAAGCGCAGTGCTATATTCTGACAGTCTGTCCTTGCCTCCCTCCAGGGTGCCCTTGCAGTTGAAGTCCGTGCCAATGACTCCAACACCCTCGACCTGGTGTCCAAACTGAACCATGAGGAGACACTGCTGCGCTGTGTGGCAGAGAGGGCACTACTCAGGGAGCTGGTAATCTCCTGATTTTAATATTTTTCCAAGAAGCCACACTGATTTGATTTTTGTGGATTACATGCAGCCAAAAACTAATGTGAGACATGCCACTTATATCTTATATACTATACAAATCATATTACATGTATATTATGATTATATATCTCTCTATATACTAGTAGTATCTGACTACAGCTTCTATTTCTTATTCAGGAAGCAGGTTGCAGCACACCAGTGGCTGTGTACACTGAGATAAAAGACAAGGAGGTAAGAACTGAAATAAAAACTATACTTCTGTGTGGTTGGAGTCAATTTTCTCTGGTGTATTTATCATCTATTAGTATAATCCCACCAGGTCACATATATCTGTCACCATGAAAAAGTTCATCCAAAGAGGTCCTCAATGTAATGTCCTCTAAGACTTGTATAATGCACCCCTGCATATCTAAATTGTGCTTACATAGGAGGTACAGTACTACTGGTCTAGAGATCTCTTAAACTCACTGTTTTTCAAAGTGGCAGATGTATGTAACTAAGCTGATAAATGCAATTGGAGCTTATCACTTTTCTCATGGTGGATTTACATGTATGTCTCTTGAATCTGGGCTTATCTTCCGAACAGAGTGTTAATCGTTAATCGTGTTTATTGGAAAATCTGACCCTTTTGTTATGTTTGTTCCCCTTGTAGCTGTACCTGACAGGTGCCGTCCTGAGTCTGGATGGTTCAGAGTGCCTGAAGGAGACCATGCAGACATCTCTGTCAGACACACAGACACAAGAGGTGAGGCTCAGGCAAGGAGACACTAGTTTCTCCAAGTTCTCATGCAATGTCTATCAAACATTCATTGGAAACCATGGTTTGATGAAAGCACAGTTCATTCTGTCAACATTCTCCAGTATTCTACAAAACTTGTCAAAGTGACATGTTGTTATTTTCTTGCAGGATTCCTCCTCAGAAGCTCACCAACACTACGTGAGTGTGGTGGCACAGACCATTTCCCATCAGGCCATGCAGGCTGCAGAGGATATTGGGATAGACATGGCCAAACTTTTGATCAGTAAGGGGGCAGGGGACATCTTGGCTGTTGCTAGGCAACAAAATGCAGGAGGCGAAAAGAAGTGAATTCTTCTATGATATTGTCTTTTTAAGCGGTAGATTTTTGCCCCTAAAAATCTTGGTGATATGAAGTCAAAGGATTAAGCCTTTGCCATTACTGGTCTTCCTGAGAGAACAGAGAAATGGACCAAAAGTTCAAAATGTGTGTACTAGTATTTTTCCTAAAGCAATATTATCCAGAACACATAACTTTGAGAAGGTACTGAAGTTTTCACAGTAGGGATGCTGAATTTCAGCAACGTGTGAAAGTCAAAACCATTCAAAGTGCCAAAAGTGTCAGCCTTCGCTCTGTTTCTTCTTCTCCAAATGCATAAGGTCAATGACCTGGACCAGATGGCTGTCACCATGGTAACTGGTGCTGTAGCACTCCCTGTGGTGTTGGGTTACATTATGTAGTAAGTTGCAGGACAGAGTTGGAGAGGCAGGTCATCATGTATGTGAGCAGTAGTTTACTAGGCTAGACCTAGAGAAGTTGTCACTGCAAGGTAGTAGTCACATATCATATGCTCAATCAACAAAAAGTTTCACTATCAATTGTGTTGGAAGCTGTTTAACCATAGGAGCATTCTCTACAGTTAGGAAAATACAGAGTCACATGTTTCTGTAACAGCTATTGAGGATGTTTTAGGCTTTAGATTATTGCAGATTTTTAATAATGTTATGATAGAGTCAGATAAACACAATTTCTTGACTAGTGGCATTTTATGTTCAGTAATATTCAGATGATGACTACCTGTTGCTCTATTGTGCCTTACAATACTATGTAGACCATGTGTGGTCCTAGAATGTAGAAATAGAGTAAGTCAACTTTATTGAAAATTTGGGCTTATTATATATTAATCAAGATGCTAAAAAGTATAGTTTTTTAATTGCAATAATAGTGGTCAATTTGAGTGCATTCTGCAGTATTGCACTCTTCTACATCAAAACCATGCAATAAAACATATACTAAGAAACTGCCCAAGCTTTGTCCATCATACATTAGCAACTAGGTGTCCTGGCTGCTTCTTGAGGGCTTCTTTTAGAGGGGCAAGACTCCTTGGCCACAGAATCATAAAAGTATCGTAAGATGACACTTTATTGCTGTAAAATAAACTCTGCATGTTTGTTGCATATTCGTGGTATGCATGTGTAAACATGTAAATATATCGTACAGTGAGTCACGCATACTATTCTATATCTAGTATTTGTACACTATAATGAACACCAACTTTCCACTATAGGCTGTGACCGGAGCGACCAAAGATTTGAAAGACCGCTCAATGAATTACATATTTAAACGCTTTGTGTGTTTTGTTCTCTTATAAATCTTTATAATATTATTTATTATTATTTTACATCTTGCATCTTATTCCAAATATCAAGCGTCCCGGATTGGTCGCTGCACCTTACTTTCGTAGTATTGGTTCAAAATAAGCTGTCGTGTGTTTGTGCAAAAGTATATAATATGTATTCACGTGTGGGGCACGTGGCACAGCCGTACAAGTATGATAAAACACTATGTTCTGTCATGGCACGTTAAATCATCTCACTATAAAAGGCACCAGAACTAGATACATGTCGCGCAGAGAAAGAAGAATACTTACTTCCTTCTATAACGTTACAACTTGTGTGCTTGCAATCTGCCAAGTACCCCCATCTTATTGATTAAAGGCGAGGACTTATTTTCAAGTATTTCTGAATCTTTCTATAGTCCTTTCCATCATATCTTTAATCAAAGTCTTTCCCAAAAAGGACACTTCAGTTACCATTTGATGATAAATGTGATGATGTTGTGATATTTGTCATTTGCCCTCTTCTCCATATTGCTTTCAATTTGTATATCTGATTATATACTCCACAAGCAGAGGTTAAACTTGTTTTGGAATTTTAAGGCGTTTTGTTGGGCTTTGGGCTTGCTATATTTGTTAGTTTTTGGGGGGTATGGTCTCAAAATATAAAGCCCAAAACGCCTTAAAATGTCCAAAATAAACCAAACATCTGCTTGGAGAGTATCTTTGTTGTCAGTTCCACCCCTTCCAGGCGTACGAGTTGACCGTGCCCATGTTCCGCATGGGTTCGTCGTGGACCCTTCTCTGGTCCGTCGCCTTGGCGGAGGCGTCTCGGGTCAGCCTCTCGGTGATCTGGTTCACCAGCTCCGGGTCCGAATTGTCCCTCGGGCGCGGCTGGTTCCTCTGCTCGGCGATAGAGTGGTACTTCAGCCGTCCGCTGTGCAGCCGCTCGACGGTCTGATCGATCTCGTAGCTGGTGAGTTTCTGGTAGCCGAAGCGCCTGTCGTCCCGGCCGCTGACGGTGCTGTGCGGGGAGGACCAGGACGACTGCGTGTCGTAAGGCTTCTTAGCCGACTGTCGCTCCACCATTGCTGCTGGGGAATATATATAGGGAGGGTAAAATGTTACCACCTAGAAAAACGTGTCTACATATTCCTAGGGGAAATAGGGACAGGAAAGCAAAGTAATCACAAGCAAAAACGAGTTTCCGTTGCTAATGGGGATATGAAATGGCTGTAAATGTCAATTGGATTTGGAATGACAACCTGAAATTGCATTAGATGCCTTTCACTGTCTTTCATTTGGCCATTGGTCAGATTAAGGAGGAGGTCGTTATTAAAAATCAAAACCTTAGCCCCAAGGAGGGGTTTAATCCTGATTTATGTTTAGGGGAAAGGCCCGAGACAAAAGGGTGTTGTTTTATTGGAACGGAACAGATGGAAAACAGAGGTATATTTCATACAAGATTTCAATAATTCAAAAGGTATTGTAAATCTAACCACTTCATGATCATGTCATCGCGTAATAAATGATGCGTCTGGCTTGCTTAGTTGATGAATCACCACCAGACGCCAGTGAACGGCGATGACGTAGGTGTGACGTAACTACCATACGTGAGAAAGTGGGCAGAACGTACTGCACCTGCGCCGCGAAACCCATATAATGTATTGTGTGCATGGCACTTTGACAGAATGTCTCGTTTTAATGTGGTATTCGCGTATAATTAAGGATGACATTCCGCCTATAGTTTTCAAATGTTGTGTCGGAGTCTCCGACTCGGAGAGGATATCGTCTACAACTGGCAAAATTCTGATGCAACAAAACCATTTAAAAAATCCGGGTTCCACGCAGGCGCAGTATGTTCTGTCAATCTGCTCATGTTACTCCAAGAATGCAGATGAGAGCAGAAAGAGTTGCCCTCTAATATGCTCTAAGAGGAAATACTTTCCTTTCCTTCCAACAAGCATAAATAGAATTATCCGCCTGCTTTTTATGAACAAAAGGTAAACCGCATGAAAGGACGTATAAACATCCAGTTGCTTGCGTAACGGTTTTTGTACACAACAGCTAAATCCCAACTTTGAGGACTTAACTAGGTGTTATTGGATCTTTTATACTAGCATTCTCTTTTGTCTGTCTATTCAGTTTGTATTGAACCGCAGTTGTTTAGCGGTAGTGATTGTGGCATTTTGGTTGGCTGCACTTCAATTAGAGATGAATGAAATAAGCGCAGACGGTTTTGACTTTCACAACATTTTTGAACACACGCACTACGCGCATGATGTGTGGAGTTAGTTCATGGCAACCGCGAGACGCTTTCCAACTTTACTCCTTTTTGATGGATATGCTTTGCTATACAGATATATTTCTTCCGTAAACGGAATGGATATGCTTTGCTATACAGATATATTTCTTCCGTAAACGTCTAAAGTAACGGGATATGGTAAGAGAAAGTGCCAGGTGCTAGCAAGACTTTCCCTAATTTGCTTAGTCCATTGTATTATCGTGATAAAAGGGGTCACTAGGGTGTGTTTGCTGTCTCTATGGCCGCGTTATCTAGTAAGGTCCTATAGTTAAACACCCTGTAACACGGAGGCCTGTAAACCGACAAATTCCATTCCTTATAAACCCACTTTGTTTGTTTGTTTGTTTGTTTCGCATAAGCAGTAAGCCGCCTTTTTGCGTACCGTTTTGTACTGTAAGTACAAGCTGTGTACGATCGGACTGTATGGTGGGAACCCCACTCTTTTCGATAAGTACAGAACCTTCGGATTCTGATATAAAGTATCACGGTGTTTGCATCCCCTACTAAGTAAACCACTATACTACATATATATGGACATGGTGAGAACGCTAGTGTGAAAACATTTCAATATGTGTACCATATTTTACGATAACTCATTTTTTTCTCCTTTGTATGCGTTGAGCAAAACAAAAGTTCTGGCCTCGGTCAGTCAAAAGGACGAAATGATGCCAAGAGTTGGTCTGAAACCTTGTGTGCAGATTTAGAATGGACCGCTGCCGTGTATATCAGTTGGTAACTTAAGAGCGGCCTTAATCAAACAAGAAGCGGAAATATGGCGCCGCGTGTTGTTGCAACAATTTCGTAACTACAGTAACATTTGCTCGCCATATAACTCTACTGACTACATCAGACTAGGATGATACTTCGTACAGAAGGACAAGAGCAAAAGGAGTAGACATAGAATCCCATGAGACTACCGGGTCTGTAAGGGCTAAATGCCAACTAATCGTACGGCTTACCTGTAGTCACATTCAGCTCACGAAACAGTGAACGCTGTCACTGCGGCAGGTAAAATGTATGGTTGTCAGAAGCCGCACGTTCTGTGCAGTTCCCTTGGGTGGGACAGGGGCGTTCCACCTGTCCTTAGCCGACCCCACCTCCGCGTCGCCGAAAAAATACACGACGATTTGTGGGGATTGTCAAGGCAGGACGTCTCGTAGGTTCTGTCTCTACAACAAGAAAGGCGGCGCGGGGTCAGCAGGGATAGAGTGACAGTTTGTTTAATCGCTTCTTTTGTTTGCGCTCCAACCTGTTGCCCCGTGGTGGAATACGCATGCGTAGCTCCGCCTGCAGAGATGGTAATGTCCGCTAGAGGACGCCATTAATGAGTTGTATAGCTCAAGTGGTTATGCTGTTTTGTAAGACACACAAACACGTGCGCACATACGCACACAGACACACACACACACACACACACTTACATACATACATACACATGCACAAAACATAAATACAGGTTCATACATGTATCTATTGTCTGCATCATTAAGCACATCGCACTTTACCTTTATTAATATTCAGTATCAGCGTTACAATCACTGAATGTTCAATGCACCCGGGAAACACAGCTGTTACAACACTTTCCCGACAGGCTTTCAGCTACACAACTTCCCGGGTGACAGCACTTCCCCGATACAACACTTCCCCGGTAGTCTTTCAGTTACAATATCGTTCCAGCACTTCCCCGACCCTTTCATGTCGACGTGAATACCACGGAAAACACCAAACATACTCCCGATAGCAACGTCTAAGTAAGGTTCTGGGAATATGTGCTCATTATATTCATGAACGGAAATCACTATGTCTGAGAGCTGCGGAATGCAACAGTAATTCTACTTGGGAGGCTTGGATCATGAAGAATGTTAGACATCAGGCAAGATGTGAAGTAAATATTTCTAATTGGTCTACCACAGCGCTTGCTTTGTACATGACGAACAATATTGTACTACAGAGCTAACATTATCACAGAAACTAGATGCTAGTACACATCGTGCCCAGATAACTTTTCGAAAAGTGGATTTTAGAAAAGAGAAGAAAAATATTCAACCTCAAGTTTTAGGGGGAATATCCTACTTCTGGATATGAGTATACTAGTATACCAATGGTATGTGGAAATGAGGCTATACAATGTACAGACGTGGTCACATTCGTCGCACGATTTTTTTTGTAAAATTTTCTGCGGGGGTTAAGACAGAATCTGTCGTTGGCAAGGATCTATATCAAGTTTGTCAGTCACAATACGGGTTTTGTACAACACATCACGACTCGGTTTTGTAAGGCTACCTCAGGACGAATGTGACCACGACGCCCTGACAGGAAAATCGTAAACATCATTTATGTAAGTTCAGGTGCGACCCTCAGCTCAACAAACTTCAGTAAGGGGTAACTCTTTCTGCCCTTGTCTCTCCTTACGTACCACCTGATGGCATCGCGGAGGAATCTGTTTTGAGTCGGGACGGTTTGCGGAGTGTAGTACACGCCGTTTAGGTTGGGGAAAAGCGCGTTTTTGGATAACCACCCCGCACTCCTGAACTTCAAGGCCTTCTTGGTAGCAGTGTCACTGTCCCATGTGGCGAAGGCCTTGTTGTTCCGGAAGTGGAGAGCGTTGCGGGCGGTCCCGCTGAACCCACTCCCGAGGGACAGTTTGTACTTGGAGGCTTCGTCCAGGACGGAGAAGCTCCGGTACTGGGCGTAGCTCGATTCTCCGTCGAACGTCTCCAAATCCACCCGCAGCCCGTACCTGGCCTGGTTGGTCAGCAGGTGGATGTTGTCGTTGCCGAGCCAGAACTCCGTCGACAGGTTGCCGAAGCCGACCTTGTACTCCTCCCAGGTGCGGTAGAAGTCCACGGAGCCGTCCTGACGCCGCATGAGGACCGTCCAGCCCTGCCCGCCCTCCATGCGACAGTAGACGGGGACGGTTCGGTTCGCCCCCGCCAGGCGGATGGTGTACACGCCGCTTCTGGCCACCCTGTTCGACCAGTGGAAAATGGCCGAGCAATCTGAAAACAAAGATATGCGTAGGTCAGCATTTATGTGTCAACACAGCCAGACACAAGTTGTAAAACAAAACAAAACAAAACAAAACAAAACAAAACAAAACAAAACAAAACAAAACAAAACAAAACAAAACAAAACAAAACAAAACAAAACAAAACAAAACAAAACAAAACAAAACAAAACAAAACAAAACAAAACAAAACATAGTGATAGGAGTGATTGAATTGACCAAAGCTCCGTTCTTAGCCTGGTATTCAGTCTTGTTGATGTTTAGTCCGTACCAAGGCGGCTGAATACCAGGCTATCCTGCACCACGCGTACATGGAACTATGTAACGTTACTCTATTAGTCGTACATGCGACGTTCTCTGTTAGTCGGAACACCAGTACTAGTTACCTATTTGCCATCAACGGTATCGACGCCTCATACTAACTAATTGATGTCACGACTCCTGACTTCGGACAATGTTATTTATCAATTTACTTGTCCACCCCGATGATTTCTGCCACAGCTCTTTCTGGTGGCAGTGCGACAAGCTAGACTACAGGTAAGACATAGGTATTTTTCTTCGTGTATTTTGTGTTTTTGTATGGCTATGGGCCACGATCCAGGGGTAGATAAATAGACGTCAGTTATCCTACCGATCCACATCTCCGGAGGATCCAGGCGCCTCTTGACCTGTTCCAACCTCTCCTCATCTGTTTGCAGGTGCTGTTCCAGGTGCTCCCAGGTGGCTGGGGGAAAACCCACAGGTGCGCGGAAGGTCCAGGTCCTACAGGGGCAGACAATACTATAGTGTTTTCGTTACCTAAATATAGAATTCACAGTTTATTTTCTTGCTTTAAGAAATAGTAAGTAAAAATTATTACACACACACACATACACACAGAGAAAGAGAGAGAGAGAGAGAGAGAGAGAAAGGGAGGCACACACGCGCGTGCACACACACACGCACACGCACACACACCCTCCCCCCTCTCTCTCTGTCTCTCTCTCTCTTTGTCTCTTTCTCTGTCTCTCTTTCTCCCACTTCCCCTCTCCAAATGTATCAGGTATTAAAAGACACGTTTAGACGGAATCGTTTCTCCTCCGTTTCCCCTCCAGACAGTCCGTACAGCGAGTCCACATTAAAAGAAACTCCATAAAATCTCACCCGTTTTTCACGGCAGGGCAGTCTGTGGACCCGCGGCCTCCTCTCCCCCCGATGACGTCACCTGCCACGGTCTTGTCGTTACAGAGGATCATCAGCGTCACGCACAAAAAACTGGAGGCAGCGTGTTGCCGCCATGCCGTGCGCCAGTCTGACGCTCCTATAGCGGCTGACTGATCGGCCCCCGACAGTGAGAGATTGTGTAACACGTGCTGGCTGTGCACGTCTACATGGAGGTTAAAAGCCGCGGTGGTATGCAGCGATGTGATGTATTACTAACCAAAGCAAGTCTGCCGTGAGTCTAATTAATCAGCGATATAAATAGGCATGAATCGGCCCGCAACAAACACAGGTTTCTACGTTCAGTTATTTCGTATCAAACGCAAGGAAGGAAGGAAGAAAATGATCAAACTTACACCATTTCACTTCTCCGCGGGGGTGTAGAGGGCATAGATAATAACTTTTCGTGACAGTTGTAGTAGCTATGGGCTTTTTAACAGCAATCCGAAATAATAACATTGCTACTTTTGAATGACGTAAATTTATTTCCATGTATCACAGTGTGAAACAAATTCTGCACAAGTAACAACATCGTGGCGTCTTTGTAAAACCAAGTGTATAATGTCCTTGGTAAAACCAAAGGATGAACACAGTATTTCGTGTCGTTACAACCTCTGACGTCATTGACTATTCACCGCTGCATTCACCGCAGCAAAACACACACAGACTGGCTCCATTCTTATGGTGCAACATTCTGTAAACTGCTTGTAACGTGGTCATTTATTTTCCTATATTTCCGAGTTGAGCTGTAGCTACATGTACAGATGTACAGTGTATAGTTTTCTTCGCTTCTAGACGTTGGCCTCCACGCAGTCTTTCCGAAGTCGTTTCCTCTATCGTTTTATTTCTACATGGCGGTACATAGATAATTTTCAAGAAAAGACACCCAAAGAATTTACCCAATCAAAGGTCATGATTCTGAGACGGGGCTCTTCGTTTCTACGTACGACAACAGACACAATCAACCATCATGGTGACATTGTTTTCTCGGTTTGTGTCTACAGTGGCAACCTTTCCATGACATGACAAGCATATTACACGGAAAACGGTGTAAGCATCTCAAATCTTTGATTTATTTACAAAATGTCGGTACCTTCACTCTCAAAGATCATATTCTTTCTGATTCCGTGTCTTATTAGATCGACACGTATCTCTCCTCAGAGACAGAGTCAGAGCGTTAATTGTTCCCTCACTGATTCTCTGGCACATGTTCATGGAACATGTGCCGATTCTCTCGGTTAGAGTTAAGCGCGGATCTTTGCCGGCCTTTTGAACCGCCTCGCCACCTTCTTATCACTTCTGTTATAGTCCCCACAAGTAGCCTTCTTCCTTTTCACAGTGTTCCTCTTCGTCGCTCTCTTCTTGGTGACGTCGATCTTCAGCGCAGTGGCCCTACTGTACTCGTCCGTGTGGGCCACGCCGTCGTTCAGCAAGGGAGGCGGCGGCGGGGCCGTCGGTGGCAGGGCTGTGGCCTGGTCCCGCCGGGCTGACTGCACGACCAGCGCGTAGAGCTTGAAGGCGGACATACGGCAGTGGTGGCTGCGGCGCTGGTGGCGACACAGGTTCTCTATCATATCCCTGGCCAGCGCCATGTCTCCCCCGGACTCCTTCTTAATCTTCTCAACCAGCGCTGCTTGTCTCCTTCTGTTTCTCACTGTGCGAGAGAAGACGGCCGGAGTTAGAAGAAGCACAATGTTGATGTTTAAATTCTACTTGGTACTTTAATACATAACCCCTAATAAACGCGTAAATACATGTACATCTACGATGCTGCATATGTAGCGTGAAAAAAACGTTGACATACGACAGAGTCCTTTTGTAGGGCCCTGTATGCTACATTTACAATTTTCGTGTCCATATATCGTCATGTGTACCTTAAATAAGCGTAAATATGTCTACGACGTTTTGATGGGGACGCGTCTAGAAGACGAATGCTTCAAGCGAAATCTACATGCACATGCACACTTCCCCCCCAAAAGAATCAATTGGTTATTGAAAACATTAGTATCTACCAGACCATAATGGGCTGCTGTTTACCTCGGGTAAATAGTAGAAAGTTGGCCCAATAGACTGAATATGATATACTAGTACAGTATACCAGAGGACTTAACCAGCCGTAGGGGTGCACTCGGTAAAGACTAACCCAAAGTCACACACATCTATTTGGTGATTAGTGGACATAAGTAGGATAGTGGAATGTCAGATCACCTGGCCTCATGTCGCTCTCTAGCGGGCCCAGAGTCAGCAGAACGCCGACGATGATTTCTGCAATCACACGGAAGTCCATGGCTTAGGTCTGGCACTTCAGACTTCTCAGATTCAACTTGTACTTTCTTGGCAACCTAGTCTACTATATATATATAGAAACTAGCTCTATACATGCATGGTTTGAAAAGCGAGAATTTTTTTGCGTGGAATCAACCGGCTGAAACTGCCCCTCGTTCGTAAATCCGGAGGGATGACATTTGGGCGAACAATCGCGTTGCTAAGGCGGCCCCCTGGTGCGGGGAAGTTTGCGTCAGAAGGAGGGACAAGCTTACGTCTGGACCGCTGATGCTGAAAATCTTTTGTGTCTACAATGTACGTGGTCGTGAGGTAATCTCTAAAGAGTGGACAAGGAATGGCCTCCTATAACCCCACACGGTCCTTGCACGGTTTTTGATTTTTTTTTGGTCCGAAGGTGGGTAATGTCTGAGACGAAAAGTATCAGGGTAGAGACTCCGATCTGGTAGTATCAGTAATACTACCGGTAGAGGTCCCGATCGGTAAGGATGCTGTTGATGTGTTACAAATCCTAGATTTAAAGTGACATGAATGAAAGTTGAATTTTTTTTCAAGATGCCAACTCTGACATCAGATTGCAAGGTTTGAACCAGGAAGGACCCCTGCTCTTTTCGATTAGAGTGGTGGGTTCTTTAAGATGCTCCGATAGGCTCCATGAGATAATCTCGTTTTGCCTCCGACAGAGACTGACATTGACCGACACTCTTACAAAGTCGAGTACCAGTTCTGTCAAAGTCCTCTTTTTCTTTTCATCAAAATACAAAGTACTCTTGAACCTAAGGTCTCTCTGAGAAAAACTCCAAGCCGCCACACACTGTGGTTTACAATACAGCTAGTTGACGTCTCAGTCCCAAAAATAGGACAGGGACAAAAAAAACGAAGTAAACAGCACAGACAATAGCATTGTTGCGCTGATGTCGTCACGACATGTTAACCTTTACCCCTATCGCATGCACAGTAGTGCTAGACACGTTACCATGGTGATGAAAAAGAGGAGGGAGTAGTTTGTATCGGTACCAGGACTATTTCTGCCTCTTAAAATTACTTTACGTTTCTGTAAACATCCTTGTTTCTGTTCCAAACCTACAGAACACATTTTGAAATCATGCCCGGGTCCAATGGCGAAGATCAGCGACAAGCGCGGGTTGTGTGTAGGCCAAAGTAATTTCTGAAGTTTTTTTCACATGAGACGAGAAAACAAAGACCGATGCTAAAAATAGCAGTTTTGTGTCCGGCCTTCTGAGTGGCGGTGGTGAAAGGACGTGTACGTCACAGCTGTAACCCCGGGCACGTCACCGAGATTAGCCAATCTCATCAGGGTCAGGACATACATGTTGATGAGCCTCAAACCTTTCATTTAAAACGCCGGTGGTCCGCTGGATCACCAGTCAAAAGACGCGAAGCTGGTCTCAAGTGTTCCGGAGGACGACGCACAAATCGTCATTTTCAACCACCATGCGCGGCAGAACCGACGTCCCCGCTCTCCTGCTAGTGGTAGTTGTGGCCGCCCAGCTGACTCTGACATGCTGCAAGCCTGGTGAGTTTAAAAATTGTAGTATATTACCAAAAGGGTCTAGCCTCTATCGGGCCTTCCTGAAGGATTTTGGACTGTAGAATTTGACACAAATTAGGTTCAGTGGCCAGGGGAGTGGGTCGAACAAATGGCCCAACTCTCCTGGCCAATTATTCTCCCTTTTGTGCCAGATTCTACTGTTTATGAACAGATGAATTGTTAGTCTTGTGGAGACTAAAAAGTGCGACCGTGAGTTCGATCATACGTTAGATTCACTACCAAAAAATTCAACCTCAATTACATTGACAATGTCCAATTTAAGCATGCGTAAATTTTCATGAGAGTGAAGAAAATGAACTTTTACGCATGCTTTATATTTGATTTTTTTTTCGTGCAGTGCTTGGCAACATTTGTTGAAAATAGATATGTATTTTGGAGTTGCCATAGATAGTTTCTGCAAATCCGTCGCTTTTAACATCTTATTGTGTTATTCTTCTTCATAAATCCAGTTGCAGACCTTGAAAGAGATGGCGTAGCCACCAGCCACCACCATCGGAAAGAACAGGACTTCTGGCAGTGGCGGGTGGAGAGGATCCTGAGAAGAATCGAGCGAGTTCTGGACGAGGACGAGGACTACCCGCCGGCAGACGAGCAGCCCGCCGCAGAAGACGCCGGCATGTACGGCTGGGTCGAGCCCTCCGAAGTGGAGCTCCCGTCCAAACCCTTCGGCCAGGCCATCCGAGACCTTCTCCCGAAAACAGCCGAGGACGAGCCGGACTTTACCGACGACTGGTACTCGGCGCTGCTGGCGAACAGCATGAGTTTGGACTTGGACGGGTCTGAATCAGCGAAGAACATGATGTCAAACGACGTCTTGCACTCCCGGAAGCATCGCGTGTAAACTGTAGGTGATTGCTAGGCAACACGGAGACGACGTCAACAAAATTTGAGTACTCCAGGGGCGCCACAGGCGTTGTCTAAACTGGTGTCTAATAAGGAGACTAAAAAGAACAACAATTGCAAAAGGAGATATAATTGTTCCGGAAAAAAAACTAACTCAACCTGTAACTCAACAATAGTTAGGTCTTAACTAATGTTGTTGTGTTTTAAGATACTATCCCTTGAACAACCTGGGATACATATCATTGGTGTTGTAATTGATATCATTTAATACCAACCATCCTTGGTTTTTGTGTCTTCAAAGGCCCTTCAGATGAATACGTCCATTCAACCCCTAACCTGTACGCTCTGTATATATCTTGGACAATACTTGCTGTGAATGTATATGTCCTTTAATGCATATATTTCTTTGCAGGAGAGATCAATATAAGGTGTTTTGTTGTTTTCATACAGATAAACTGACAATTCTAAAAGAAAAACAAAGATGCAGTTTCAGTCACATCATTTTTTATTCCTTCTTGGTTGTTGATAAGATTGCTGAAGTCATATCTTCCATTGTCTTCATACAGTTGGGTATTAGAACTTAGGTCTTACATAAATAACATATTCATGGAACTTATAACGAATAATGACAAGAAAATAAAGTCATTATATTACATTATGTTACATTACCCGGTATCATATGGCTTCAATGATTAGCCTCTACCAGGCCTTCCTAAGGATAGTAGAATTTAGTTAAATCCGGCAAAAATAGGGTCCGATGACGAATTAACGAAAAGAGGTCTGAGCTAATATCTGCCTCGCTATAAAATTATACAAACTCTGTTATCTATACACAACTTAAGCCTTAAGGACATGATTTTTGTTGCAGGTTAACTTAACTGCCATGTCCGGGAAACCTGCATCATCTAGCAAAAACTTTCTGATCTCCAGAAAAAATGGATATAATATCTTTTTAAAGTTGAATATCAATACTTGCTGATAAATAAATCTGATTATTGATACAATATAAGAATGGTACACAAATGCTACATTGCAAAGCCAGACAAATGTTCAAAAGTGACAAGATAATACTTCAGCTTTGAAAATTATGGCTTGAGAAGTTAATATGCAAAATGCTCTTCCACTGTCTCTAAAATGTAAACAAAACATAGCAGTGGTAGTAATGAAAATAAATATAACACTCTCCAATCAACATTCTTTAGCAACAAACACATTTTTTTCAATGAGATGATAGGTGCTGACAAATCAACAACCTGATGGTTTTGAAACTGTACAATAAATATAAAATAATAAGACAAGTGATAGATCTGAAATGATATAGCTTCATGAAAGCTTAACATAGGCAGTGCACATAGCTTAAAGTTTATACACGGACCCCTAAATATCACAGTTTTCCTTAACTTATTCTAACTAATTACAATTCTGAATATCAAAATTTCCACTATTTCTATTATCAACATGGACCAAGCTGTAACGCTTTGCACATTTGAATTGTTCCACTGCAATAAATACAGGCAGTCAATTAGCAAGTACACCTTTCACTGCTGCCAGGTTACTTTACAAAAAAACAATTGAGCTGGCAAAAAACAGCAAGTTAGTTAGTCCTCTTCTTAAATGACATTGTTAGGTGGACAGTATGGTACAAGGTAAAATATCTATCACATCCAACATCAAATATTCAATTTGCTGTTATTCTTACATGTATCATCTACGCCTTAACTGCAAGGTTTGGATATAATGTCACATCTGATATTGTACAGGATTTCTCACACAAATAACCCAAGAAAATTGATAAGTTTGAGGAAATATGGAAGACAAGTGGCACTTAGTCATTGCATCACTGGCCCTTGAGCCTTCATATACTTATATACATGTATATATGCATGACTGGTGGTTGGTCATCCTATCAACATTATCTACAGATAGTGGGTCTGGTATCTGGGCACTGAAACTACGTCTGTAAGTAAATTGGGTCTATCACTGGGAGTAGTGAAACTGTCTATCTGTGATGGGTGGAGAAACTGGCCTATCAGTGACTGGGGTGGAGATGTTATGCATCTTGTGACATTGGGTCTGCTATAGTTGCCATTATCTGAGAGGTAAAATGGGTCTATTAGTGTAACTTAGGAGGATGACGTTATTTAGGAATTCGTGGGTTTACTTGAGTGCTGTCAGTATCTGGGCTGTGAGAGTTTGTTCATCTGTTACTGAAGCGGGGATGACATCGTGTCTTTCTCTTAGATGAGTATTATGTGGCAGGTAACAGTGGGTCTAAGTGTTACGTAGGTATAAAATTGGGTGAAACTGGGTCTAACTGGGTGCAACACTTTTTGAACAAGGATGCTAGAATGTAGCTTTCCTTCAATAATGCAACAAGTACCAAATCTGTTGTCAGACCAGAATGCTGTATCACTTCATAGCTGACTTACATGTAGTCTGGCTTCTTCCTAACACTTCAATACACTTGGCATGACAAAGTTGCATTGCACTGTTATTCACTGATTGAGAAACAGTTCTTTTATACCTCCTTACTGACAATATACATATCATCTACTACTTTCTGGCAAGATAGGCTTAACTGTGTCTTTACACCTTTTTTGTGTATCAGGGTTGGCTCCCACTATGACTTGTTTTTTTTTCTCAGTTACACCTTTTACATCTTTACACTGAGATGTTGCAGAGGGCTGTTGAACTTAATGGCTGTGTCATTCATTGGAGACAATTGACAGCATACATACATTTTTGTACATGCTTTCTGGCATGACAGATTTGACTGTGATTACTGAGATGCATTGTGATTACTGTGTATTGAGAACATCTTTCTTTACAGTTAGACACTGTTATGACTGCTTCTTCACCTGACACTGTATCTGTGGAGCTGACTTGTTCTCAGAAGGACGTCTGTGCTTCCTGGAGGAATGGACCGCACCACAGAATTAGTAAGGGAGAAGGCCTTACCAATTTAATTTGTTGGTTCTCGGTTACAAAAAATAATGCTGAACTGGATTATCAACATGAAAATAAAATTTGAGAAGAAATTCTGCACTGAATTGTATCCACTGTTTCAGGGAGTAGAATATATGTCAGATTTAATTTTTCCTCTTTCCTTTTCATGTTTTCATCTTGGCATCTTGCTAAATTTTTACCACAAAATGTCTGAGAACCAAGAAAATAAATAGGTGTGGCCTAAGTAACACTGGTCACTTTTAATTTGGAAAATTATGTGCTAACGTTTATGGGGACAAAGTTGTATATTTGAACTATATTTGAAAATTAAAAAAAATTAGTTTGAAAGAATGTGCTTCATTTTATATCATAACGTATTCATGCAAAAGAAAACAGTTACTCAAGCAACTGGATAGAATTTGAAAATTGCCGAAAAGGAGTGGATGTTACTTGAAACATCTGACAGGTTTCAATTCTATCCAGTTGCTTGAGTAACTGTTTTCTTCATTGAAGCCTATTCATGATATGGATTGTGCAGGTAGCTGACTTTGAGGTGTTCAAAATTTGTACATTAAGTATCTTTCCAAATTGAGAATGACCAGCATTTTGTCTTCAGATGATACCAAAACCAGGTCACGTTAGTCCAGAAATGTGCAATCAATATTACGTGCGACAGCTACACCAGGTGTGGTTACAAAAACACAAATGTGAAGTGCACAACAGCGCTGTGCTGTGGATTAATTCTCTAATGCCAACTTTACAGGGGAGGGTTATGGACCCTGTAAAGTCAGACTATTAAGAAGGATACATGTACCTATGCTTGATACAGACATGTTATTGTGCATAAAGTACTGGATGCGCGTTTAATGCGGGTCAGAATGTGCTACATAACATCAGGATTGACATGTGTGGCCCATGATTAGCAGCAGAAGTGACGTCAACTCTAAGAGAATTCTGCCAGGTACATATACCCTTAGACCACCACATAAAAAAGAAACAATGAATTTACAGAGATTACTAAGTCTGCATACTGCATTTAAGTAAACCTCAAGGTATGCATACTTCAGATTTCAGATAGATGTTCAATTCTTTAGACAGATTTGATAACATTGTTGGCAGTCCTGGGGTCCTGGCTGAATTATGTCAGTAACTGTTGATGTTAGACTGTACAACAGCTACTGCATTATACTGTAGACTACAGCAGCATCTACAATTGTGTGTGTGTGTGATTGCACAACATGACTGGTGCTGTGCTACAGAAGCATATTATCGGCAGAATGTACAGCTGCACAAAACCTAGATTTTTCATATTTTTTCTTGGATGTTTGGTCAATGTTGCATCAGAATTTTGCCCATTGCAGATGATATCTTTTCTGACACAACATATGATTACAATAGATGGGATGTCATCCTTAAATACACAAAGACGCCCCTAATCAAGACGGTCTGACAAAATGCTATGAATAATACATCATGGGTTCTGCACAGGCACAGACGATGTCAGTACATTCTGCCAATGTGCTCGCTACAGTTCTAGACATAGAAGTGCACTTGCTTGCCAAACTACAACACTACTACAGCCTTTTTATCTACTGTTAGTGACAATTTTTGCACCTGTCTTACTCTGAAGTGCTAGCAATTGTCAATCACAGATAGAAGAAATAAAATCAGCACTGTGTACCAAGTCAGATTGAAGGGCGATTTTATACACATAGTTAGTTGCTTAAAGTAATGTACAGAAGCTACACAGTAGCTATAAGCTGTGACTGCTAACTAGATATGAACATTTCACTGTACCAACATTTACAACAAGAACAGTCTTGCAAGGTGGCAGCTGTCTTAGAAAAAATAATATACAAATTTAGGTGAACATGATAGCTGTTTCACCATGAGAAGTTTCTTCTTTTTCTGCATTGGCAGTTACGTGTTTGAGCCTATATTCACATGTTGTACATAGTCAGCATGGTTGGTACAACTGTTGGGTAGAAACCTTTTGTGGTATTTGTAGCAGATTTGTTTTATAGTGACATTGTTCCGGACTTGTCTATAGCATAGAATGTTGGCATACAGTGACAAATGCAAGAAACTAGAAGAACTAGAATTTTTCCACTTTACACAACGATGTTGTACCTGTTCACAGATGAAACTCTGTACAACATTTTTAGATTGCAAAGCAACTGTTAGGACATCTAAGCAGTCTCCTCTCTTTTTCCCTTGCTGCCAGGTGCTAAGGAACACCTGAGCTACTCCTCCAGGTGAGACACCTGTGGCAGGTGTTAGTGGTAAGCAGATGCTCCCACCTGAGGGGTACCTGTCTCCGACATGACCCTTGGTAACCCTGGTAACGACCCCATGTGCTCAAAGGCCAGCCTGCCCTCCTCCCCTGTGACAACAGAGATGAAATGTTGTTATTAACAATGGTAGGACAATTTCTAACCCAACACTGTTTTCAACAACACGGCCTGGAAAGACACAATCTACTCTTACCATGCATAATTTCATCAGGTCGGCAAGAGACTGTACAAGTAGATTCTTTATTCAACAAACCGTGCATTTTTAAAACACTGTTACACA